TTTCAATTCACGAAAAGTGGCATTTAGCACAGCAGAAATTACATTTGTCATTTCTTAAGAAGGCACTCTGAAATACCGCACGTGCAGGCCAGGATTACCCACGTGTAGCCAACAACTGGAAGTTCCATCTGTGAAGATGGGAAGAAAACATGTACAAAATTTTTTGTTAAGACATCTGTTGAGTTGATAATGCCGACGTCTCGAAGCAATGAAAATCTTCATTGAGGCTACCAATTAAATTCTTCATTGTCAAAAATTTTATATTATACCAGGTTGTACGTTTGCTTTTCGCCTGCTTTTAGCGGATCCGGACCCCGGGCCCCGGGATCTTGACAGCTGTAATCTGATATTACTGTTGACAGTAATTTGCATACTGAGTCACAAAACGTTCGCATGGGCGCTTTATCCTTCAGATTGGCGCTTCCTTCTGCGGTGTCCAGCAGCATTTTAAGACAAAAGTTGTTGACAGATAAGGAAGAGAGGGTTTACTACGTGTTTACTAAGCGAACTTCGTTAGAAAGCATGCGTGTTGGTTATGAGTCTCAAACAGAGTTTAATATAGAATGGCAAACTTGAACAGATGGCAACGGGAAACATTTTACATTTTGCCGTAAAACTAGACCTGAAACAAAGAATAGGGTGAGTACTTTAACATTTACAACTTTGTGCGTGAATATTACCAAGACTTTTTCCGAGAGACGTTTCATGACCTTTGCCTGGTCGACTGACGATGGTCACGCATATGTTAAAGATGGCGTTACTTTATGTTGTCTGTAAAACGATTTTCAAATAATTTCTGAGAGGCTCAAAATGATTTCCCCAAAATAATTGTTGCATAACATAATAGTTTGATGCCTTTAGTGTATTTGCCTTCAATCTGAAAAAATTCTGATCAAAGGCACATGATGAAAATCGTCGCTGTTTTCAACGACCTTTCGTGGCTAAAGATCAGGTAGTCGTACGCTTTAGCTTTTTTAAAATTACTTAGACTGTTGTAATGCTGATCAACGACGAGTTAAACTTAAAATTTTAGCAATAAGTTTTTTTCCTAGCGCGGCTGTATTAGAACGCGAGTCCAGCGAATCATGATGAATTTCAACCCTGTTTTTGGCTTGCGAAATCGACGGTGGGGCTTGAAACGGTTTTTTTCGTTTTTCTCTGAAACAAACAGATCTTTCGAAGAAAAAACTACATAGCGTTTGTATACTTACTAATGTCTACCAGTCTGCAAAAGAAGAGCGATTTTGATTTTTTGAGCCTTGCCACGAATCGGCGATTTTGGTCGATTTTTGCACAGATTCGCTCTTATTACGTTTATGGTTAGTAATTTATTACATTTATAGTGGGTATTACATTTATGGCTGACTTTTATTACATTTATGGTTAGCATTACATTTATGGTTTTTATTACATTTATGGGTGATACAACCATGGACAACAATCCTCCACCTTGAATGTAACAAGATTTATTAATACTGCTTAGAAATAAGAAAAGAGTAGTTTCCATGTATCTTTAAACTTCTTTGTACAGAAGCAACCAGAATTAAGAATTCTAAGTCAAATTCCTTCTTGAAGATGAGTGTTGTTATCCACATTTTCATTTATCCCCTTCATGTTGTATTTACCTGTTTCACATAACTTAACTAGCTTGTGACTGAAACAAGGACACGTGGAGGAAAGGGAAATAAAGGAGGTGCAAAGCATCAGAGCCCATGTACCTTTTTAACTTTTCCGTTTCCTACTCATTTGTAGCTGTTACTGAGATATATATATTTATTTTTAAAATGTTCATTTCTTCCTGCCTTACAGCAGTATGTTCTATGCAGTTAGGGATTGTTTGAAGAAAAATTTAAGGACAGCTCTATCTCTTCTCTCCACAATGCAGGGTAGGCCAGGGTTTTTGGGTATACGGTATACAGGGGCTTTTTAAATTGGGTATACGGTATATTGCAGCTTAAATACGGGTATTTGGTACATCACTTTCTTTGAATTTCAGGTATAGAGTATACCTGGGTATAATTTTGGGTATATCTGGATGAATTTTGGGTATTTTTGACCGACCCTGACAATGTCCCTCGTTGGGGACAGAAGAAAGTGGCCATTGTGGAGAAGTTGCTGTTAGGTTTGACTGTAAGTTAAAATAAACTTGAACTTATGTGTTTCAATACCTTTTTTCCAAACTAATAATATTCTCACCTAATCAGCTTGTTGTTTCCATCGATATGCCACAAAGCCAGTGATGCAGGTACCCAGTACTGGCGGCGCTGTATAGAAGCCCTCCATCTTTGGTAAACACCAGTGGGGTCAGTTTTCAGAAGTGATTGACACACTCTTTCCCACTGAACCCTATAACCTTGACTATGCGATACCCCATCAGCACTCTCAATCCAATTCCATTACGCGCACCTTGCGCCTTACTTACTAGATTGTCAAGCTGGCCATCACTGATGTTACTGTAAGGGCCTAAAACCAATAAACAATGATTTAGATATTGTGACTA